GTTTAATACTGATATATTTAATAGCAAAAGTATGCAACTCGGGGCTCGAATGAATTATTTTATTATTTGAATTTATATTCATTAGAGCTTTGTAGTACAGTGATTTAAATTTAATAATCAACGTACATTTTATTGTAATGAATAAATTTAAGAGATTATACCTGCGTCACTGATGTATTAGTGTGACTACTAGCGGCCATACACACTACAACTAATTTCGGTGTAGAACTCTGTACATGAGTCTTCTGTTGAGCGACATTAGTCTGCGCTAGTTTAACTTGCTGTTGCTGCTGCTGTTGTTGCTGCTGTGGTTGTTGTGTTTGTGTCTGTGTCTGCTGCTGTTGTTGCTGCTGCTGCATCGAACCAGTATTAATAGTGGTATTTATATTGGAGATAGTAGGAGTTTGCGAGCGCGACTGTAAAATAACAAATTTTTGTCCACCAGTAGCGGAAGATCCGGTAGTATTTCTGCTTGTGCCAAGCATGAATGTGCGGCCGGGTTGTTGACCTGTATTCGAACTGGATACTATAACATAATATAGTATTACTTATACACATATCACTACCATACGTCCATCGATAACGATTTCCATACCTGTTTGCACAAGTGTTTTTCCTGTACAATTAGAACCTTGTTGCTGATTTGTGGTAAGTGCCGTAGTTGTAGCTGTAGTTGTTAAAGCAGCCGGTTGCGTGCGAGCCTTTACAACTGCAGCACACAATGCAGGTCCTATATATCCATAATCTTGTTTATACTCGTCCACATAATCTGGTGGCGATCGTATTGTTTTTAAGACTGGAGCAACCGATTTCTAAAAACATTTTTTACAATGCATCACACAATGTATCTTCAATATGCATAATTAATATAAGAGAATAGAGTATTGAGAGTAATAATTATTATTAAAAGGAATGTAATAATTAATAGATACATTAATCTTTTATGAAAATAGACAAGCTGCGCGCATGTGCAGCACGCATGCACATGTTTTAAAAAATTCTTATACAACTTTACAAGAAAGAATAGAGAATATTTTAATTTTAAAAACTCCTGACTGAAGAGAATAGTTCCTTAGTTTCTTAACAAAATGAATAGGATTTACATTCTTAGCGTGATATATAACTCTATGTGAGAGCAGTTGGTAGTCCTATATTTGATCTCGATCCTCAGTGTGTATCTCAAATTTATATAAGAATGAGCGAGAATTGAAGTAGATGTAGATTAAATAAGTATAAAAATAGCCGAGAATATATCGATATTTAATTCTATACACGTAGATACGTTAAATGTCTTATAGCTTTTAAAATTAGTTTTACCACAAGTAAAGTCTTGATATGTCCTGCTCCATTTTTATCCACACTAGATAGTCCTTGGCCCTCGATACACGATTCGATACGTTCAGAGATGGATTTAATTTTAGAAACAACTAAAGCTTTAATCACTTCTGGTCCTAATTCACAAAGACCTTCAATCGCTCCATATAGAGATGCCAAAGGTGTCTACAACAAATAATAACCTTGTAAAAGCAAGAAATAACAACCTTTTAAAATAACAAGCGGAATTTGTACTAGAAATTGACCTGACAAGATTTATCTATACTATTCTGAAATCATTTCTTTTTTTTCTTAAGTACTTTATATTGTTTACATAGCTGTTACCTGATAATTCTTTGCCAATGCTTGACTAAACATACGGGTGACCCTAGTTTGCACATTATTCGTAGAGGTATTAAAATTTTTACATATCTGCGCCATTAGTCGGGAAGCAAAATCACGTAATGCCCAATGATTGTCTACCTCCGGTCTCATGCACAATTGTCGAGAAACTATACAGGTTGCAACTGACGGTATCAATTCATGAAGCTACGAATCAAAATATTTTAATATATCAAAAAATGAAGACAATAGTTTATTAATACATTTAAAAAAGGATGACTTATATTACATATTTCTCCAAATAAAGGCTTGGATTATCAAGTAGAGCTTTGACCATTCGCATGAGGTAGATGAGCAACGCGAGATGATTCTGTACTACGTTGACTCGCACTCCCTCCGCAATAAAAGTACACATACGAGCCAACATTTCATGTAGACCTGGATCTGCCGAGAGCGATTGAAGAGCCTCTGCTCTACGAGCTTCATCAGATCCAACGCATGCTTCAGTTATTTCCTTGTAGTACAATTGCTGCTCCACACTGAGTTCATGTGTTGCGAGCTGCTTTACGTGAACAGTTTCAATGTTCCGTAGCTTCTGACTTTTACCACCACCGCCCGGTTTACCAATGCCAATGTTTTGATTTTTACTTGAAAGCTTAATTGTCGGATCAACACTCTCCAATTTCTGAGCATCTGTTAAAAATTAATATAATAGTAATTGAAAATTAAGAGTACTTACGAATTATGTCCAAATTCTTTGAAATATGTTCTTAAATTTTTCTTTAATAACTTTCAAAAGTATGAAGAAAAATTTCTTATTATTACAGCTTATAGAAATCAAGAAATCAGATAAAACCTTTTGATACTGGTGGTGGATTTTCTGGTATGGTAGGTTGGACTCCATCAATGCACAGCCAATGAGCTCGCAATGTAATTTCCAGAGGTAGCTTTGGCCATGATTGTCCGCCAGCTGTAGCTACAATCTCATTAAGGTCAATTTCTTTCTCTTCTACAAAATGCAATTCTCTACCACCACCTGATGCAAAGCGGAATGGTATGTGATCCTTGGCGATAAAACCGTATGTTGGCTCAATGTTCTTAATCTTCAGTGCATGATCTATGTCATGTGCAGTCATTCGTTGACGTTTTCCATGTCTCATGAATTTTGCAGCGTCCTATAAAAAATACAATTACTTATTATAACTGTTTTATAAAAATATTTAATTCATGAATCACTGATAATGCAGAGAGTTTGTGTATTTAAAGCAGTGAATTGTTTTTAAAGCAGTAAATTTGTGTTTATAAAGCAGAGAATTTGTATAATTAAAGCAGAATACATAGCACTATATTGAGTCAGAATGACAGACATTTTAATCTATAAAGTCTTGAACTTTAACGCTTAATAACTTCACGAGCCTAACAGCTGCGTTTTTCTGCTAGATACTTTCGTTTTGAGTGAATTCGCATTGAATGAGTATATTTTTATTAAGAAGCAATTTCGACGGTAACAGGAAAAAAGCCAGCATGGCCTCTCTTGGGTTTCTCTCTGCCTAGAGGATCTCTAGATTAAGAGTGTGAATTTATAATTTGGTATTTTAGGGAAAGGAGGGATATTCTAAATAATTACCTAAAGATATACCATGCATTCTGTTTTCACATGCTGTAAGCATCAGTTCATCCTTGTTGTCTATCAAATATCAAACAAGGATGATGCTTACAAACACTGTAAACGTAAAACGGAATGCACCCATAATCTTTAATGAATTTGAGATTAATCTCTTTTTTTCTCCATTTTGGCGAAAATTAAATATATATGAAGTTATTCACTAACCTGAACAATTTCTTTTAATCTGTAACTGACATCCTCTGCAAGATCTTTTGCAGCTTCATCTGGGAAATTGCCAACACCAATACTCTCTGCTATCACTTTGATGGACTCTTGAGACAAAGTTGTCCCATACATAGACTCATTTTCACTCATTTTGAAATTGTTTTGTGAATATCAATGAATAAAGTTTTATAAATAAGCTTACTGCTCAACTTTCATAGCTGCCTATAAATACAATGTAATATAATATCATGACACAAGTATAACTGATTCTTGCTAAGAAAAAATTGATCGACAACAATGACATAAATAACTGCCTAGTTTGATATAAAAAAATATAAGATTCTTGTATACTTTTTATAAATAAACGTTATAAACAATGCATGTGCCAATTATTACCTCAAATGAATATAAATTACTTATAAAATAGTGCTATAGATTAAAAGTGTTATATATTTTTGAACGCAAATGTAAATATTACGATCGTAATGATGAAAAATTATCTCACATCTGCAATATCCATTGACATAAAATGCAAAAAGTCCTCAAAGGTTAAAATTACGATGTTACTTTTAATTCGTTTCTCTGACATAGTGAACACTTTTTCACAATTATTACGAGATTATATCAAATTACAAATTCACACCACTCCTGACCACTCCAACCTAGCAACATCTAGCATCTTCGAGCATCTTCTAGACAGAGAAAAATTGAGAGAAACCCAAGAGAGACCATGCCGGGCTTTTTCCAGTTACCGTTGAAATCACTCGTACACTACCGCCAGTACATCCATTTTCAGTTTGGGAACTATGTGACTACATCCATTTTCCGACACTGTCGATAAAATCGTATCGTCGAAAGTGGATATAGTTCGTGTCTGTACTACATCCATAGAATAGAAACGTGTTGGTGCTGACGGTGCTGACTATCCATATGGAGGGCCATCGAACTTTATATTTAATTTCAGAGCTCTTTCCTTCTCATTAATTCATATATTACAGCACAGAATTTGCAGCAATATTGCTGCAACATGCAATGTTGCAGCAGTGTTGCTGCAACTTTTATGCAACTTTGTGCTGAAGAATTATACATATATAATACATATTGAACTAATTTTCGTCGAATAACTTCTTTGCATACTGCCATATTTTAAAATAGTTTAAAAGGAATATCCAATCAGAATACTAATCAGATTGCCAATCAGAAACTCGAACATCAAATATGTCACTTCTCGTTTTGTATAGGATTCTAATACTGATAGAGAGATACTAAAAATTAGAATAAAAAGTATTAAAATTTAAACGATATTTTTTTTAATACTTATTGATAGTCGTTTTAATTAAGTTACTAATTAATTAGTCATTGTCAGCAGAATTATATAACTGTATAATCAAATGTGCAAATAAATATGCAGCAAACATCTGATTCAAAGGTAATCACAATTATACAATCTTTTTAATTATTGTACATACAAAGATCTACGATATAAAGAAATTGTTAAAAAATGTCTTGCTTGTTATGTAAGAAAAATAATAAACAGGATGCAAGAGCAACGGAATCCTTCAAATACAGTTCATTGATTCATTCATCAATTTCTGATACTAAAGATGCGGAAACGGCGATATTGTTATTACAATCAGAAAATAAGTTTGCTTTATTGGCAGCTGTACAAAGTTTGTCGAAGTATGCTAGTAAATCGAAAGACAATGCAAAGATACTTTTTCATCTCGGCATTGTAAATAATGTTCTTCCTGTTATCGAGCACGAAGATATATTTGTTCGAAGGTTTGTACAGAAATAAAACTTTATCTTTATATATTAGTATAGCTAAATACTGTTATAATATTTGTAATGTTATGGTAAAAAGATTGTCATAAAATTAAAGATTTTTCATATATTATTTATAAAGATTTCTGAAAAAAATACCTAGCTTATAAATCCTTTAAACTTTATAAGTTTTCTTTGAAAATTTATAAAATGAGAAATTTTAGAATATTTAAGAATTCACATATACAGGGTAAAAGGCACTACCTAACTTAAAAAAACTTGAAAAATTTATGAATTATACGTTATATGAAAAACTGTTATATATGAAGGTTGTATGACTTTGAGGAATTTATTATACATAATATATACTGTATATATGTTTTCTTAAGGAAATTTTCTACTTTGTTATGCTGTTTTTTTAGGCTTATAGTTGTTCTTTATCTACTTTTCCAAAAAAATTTTTTGTAAAATTAGGTAAATATTTCTTTAAATTACATTTATATCCTTTATTTATTGTTTCAAGAGATTTGCATTTTTTAAAGTTTTTTTTAAGTTACCTACTCCAACGTGTAATATTGCTGCAATATTGCTGCAACTTTTGTGTTGTTGGGGTAGTGAATAGAATCGTCTAAAATCGAAGTATAAATAATTTTAAGATATCTTTAAGAGTTCTTTAAGAAACATCTTTAATATATTTTATAAAAAAACTCAGAAAGATATCTTAAAGTTGTCGATTTTGCTCGTTTATTCGGCAATATTTGGATTAGTTTTAGGCAATCTTTAAATTAATATCTCCTTAACTATTGCGAAAATTGCAAAACAGTTGAGAACTTTTTGGCTCAGTTTAGTTCGCTTTACCTACTCATGAACGCTTTGTCAAAACTTACCGGACATCCTGTATATATATCTACGTCTAATATTTATACGATATTTGGACATTATCTTAAATATCAGATTTCTTAGATTGGTCATAAAAATAGCTATAACTAATGACGTCAGATATACGATATCAGCTCTTGCTATCTAGGATATAATACAAAAGCTAACTTTCCCAATACATTTAACGTAATTATTTATGTATATGCTTGCTGCAATACAGATTTGCTGGGAAACTGTTGACAGAAATGACGGCAGTGCCAGACATAATAAATGATTTGATTGAATCCAATTATATTGGCCATTTTGCGAAGCTATTAATGAGAGAGGAAGATATTTTCATGCAGGAATACCTTTCTGCAGCGCTCGCAAAATTATCCGAAGATCCGTACGGTAATGCTCTTCTAGCAAACTATTGCTCAAACGTGAGCATTCTTTTTGAAGGATTACAATCGCCAGATCCGGATATAAAGAAACATAATCTCGAGATTCTGCATAATTTAATGCATGATCTCGTAGCTGCGCGTGAAATTTCAAGAAGCGAGGTTTGTTGTATGTTTCTAGAGATATTAAAATCGAAGCTTAAATATTGAATGTAAGGAGAAAACGGAAACAAAAGCGAAAACAAAATTTAGGAGAACATAAATTGGAACAAAAAAGAAAAGTTTATAAACGCCTTTTTTGCATTTTGCTGTTCTAATTTAAGCCTTTTAGAAATTTTGTGTACGATTCTGTCATTTTTTCTTTACATTCGACTTACGCTCAAATCTGATTTACTTTTATTAAGAATACTGTATTAACAGAAATCACTTAATTCAAATTTTTATTGCCATTAGAAATTTAATTTTTCTGCGCTGTATCGATACTTTGAATCATCGTACCCAGAAATTCAACATCTTGCGTTAGATGTAGCTGCGGATGTAATCGGTAGAAATAAAGATAAAGATATACAATCTTTATTTCATGAAACAAACGGAGTTAAAGTGCTACTAGATTTTTTAAAAGTATATATATTTTATATAGACAATTATATTCTTTGTTAATAAATTATTTTAAACATATTTAATTATTATTTAATTATATATGTTAATTGTTGGCCAGAATGACGAGTGGAATGATTTGCACATTAAAACTCTAAACATATTACGTTTTGCTGCTGAAAATCCAGTAGTCGTAGATGAACTTATTGACAGCGGAAGTATTCCACAAATATTAAATTATATAAAGCATGCGGAAAATCCAAAACTTTTTGTAGAAGCGCTCAGAATTCTTGTACATATCGCAAATACCTTCAAGGGAAGAAAAGTAATTTTATGGTTATTTAAATATAAAATACACACATTCCTTAAAATTAATAAAATATTACATTAAATTGTACATAATTTATAGTTACTTTTTTAATAGATGTTATATTCCTACGAGATTATTAAATATTTAATAGATGCTTTGCGACAACCAATACAATCTGACATTGTTGAAGTTACTTGTTACGTAATTGGGAAAATGACACTTTTTGATCATGCTGCAAGAGAACTTACAAGCACGGAGACTATTAAAACTATTTTAGGTTACATAAAGAAGTAACGTAAATAAGAATTTTTTACATCAAAGAAGGAAATTAAAGATATAATACTATTTCAGATTTATTGAAAAAGGAAGACTTGCCGTGGTCCACAAGACACGCCGCAAGTTTCGCAATCAAACAGTTATTGATGAGCAATATTAAAAATTGCAATGTCTTTTCGAATATTCATGGACCAGTAACTATTTTATAAGTTCATGTTTTTCACTTATTAATATACTAATATTCAAAATAGCTTCTAATAAGAATTATGTAAAATATCTTGAAAAGATATTTTACATATTATATTTTGCATAATCTGTCGCAGATTTTTTTATTTATCTTACTTGAATAACATGCACATTACACTTAATATAAATGTATAAATAATAATGACTTTCTTCTTTAAGGATTATCTGTGGCAAATGTTAAAACACTCGACAGAACAAGTTCTTGTAGAAACTTATATTATTGCTCTTGAAGTTCTGCTTACCATGGCACGACATTTAATTTTCAGAGATACTATGATTAATTTTGACACTATTAACACAATTTGCTTGCTTTTAGAGGTAAAAAATAAATATTAATATGAAAGTATTCTCTCCTGATATATTTTAATACGTTGAATGTTGCGCTGATTTCGACTAATTGCTGAGCTAAAGATATTTTTAACAATATTATAGTAGAGAATGTTTTCCTTTCATTATTTTTATCGCAATATAATATTAAAAAATATTAATCTTTTAGTCAACTTATCCGTTTATCGATGAATTTAAAATCGCTTGCTGCAAGTTACTTTCTGTACTATGCTTAGAAGAAAGTGGACGGCGTTATTTTCTCAAAGCAAAAGGATCCCAAAGAATATTCGCTCTCATTACTGATGCTTATTCAGTTTCAGTAAGAAACACTACGCTACAGTTAATGCAGGCAATTTCTACAGATTTAATTGTAGCAAAATCCTTCATAGAAAACAAGTACCTTTTGTAGTAAGTTCATGATAAGCTTTTTTTTGCAATTTTATATACGTTTTGAGGAAAGATCAAGAACTTTATTCTTTCATAAGAGATGATGTCAAACTCCGAAATATGCTAAATGAAAATATTACATTGAATTCTTATAGTGATCATCTAATTATTTTCTACAGCATGTTGAATAACCGTTTATTTTCAAAAACGATTCCTTTATGGGACACTTGCATTGAAATTCTTCTTAAATCACATTTACCGACTAAATTCGCTCTTACGGGACGCTTGTCTTTAAATGATCTTACTCAGGATGGATTTTATGTCTCAAAAACCAATGTATGCCCGTATGTAAATTTTTGTTATATCACACGGAAAGAACGTCTTAGTAAAAATTTTCTTTAGAATTCTTTATATAAATTTCCAGAATTTTTATAGAAATTTCAGAATTTTTCAGAATTTTAGTATAGCTTTTTAATTTTTTAGAAAATTTCTCAGTTTTTTTATAAGTTGGAACACTTTAAAAGTGCCAAAAAGATCTACATCTTTTTTTCGAATTCTTAAATATAAATGTGAATTCTAAATACTTTATACTTTACTTTACGATTTCTACGATATCTCATTCTATACTTTCCTACGAAAACATAAATCTGAATAGATTTAATGTATATTGTTTCAAAAATCTTCATAAAAATATAAAAAATTCTTAGAAATGTTATAAGATACAAATGAGAAATTTTTTCGAAGTGATTTTGCTATATTATATAAAAATTAGGCCGAAATATAGACCGAATAATAATAACATTTGATCATCAAGATAAATTATGTAAAACACTCAAGCATGATCAAGATGCTGTAAAAAGTTTTAATATTCCAGCAATCAGTTTAAGCGTTCAATATAATTATTTTTAGATCTGTATTTAGCTAAATTTTTAAATACTTCAGCAGAATCGTTCTTTCTGTGCAATTAGCTAAAATGGTTTTATTATCATTTGTAATGTTTCCATAACTATTTTGTTTAGATCTCCCGTGTTGGATGATATTTTCCGAATCAAATTTTGTCCTTTAGAGCCTATTTATGTAATAAATTATTTGCAATTACCACCGTCGAATACTTTACAGAACGAGATAACTTTCGAAAGTAATAAGATTTTATATTTTATATAAAAAATGAGGAAGGTTACTAAAAGAGAGTATTACTTTAAAAAAAAATATATATATATATATTTGTTTGCAGAGGACATAAATGCGTGGCTCAAATCAAAGTTCGGTCAATTGCAATGCGATCCACATTTTTCCGAATATGTGGAACTCTTTAAACGTATGCTCTTAGCAAAGGAACTAAAAGATATGTTAGTAGAGTTTCTAAAAATCTTATTTAAAATAATTCGTATATCCTATTTATTATACAATTTATTAAACAAATTCTTATATGTAATAATTTACAATTCACAGCCCAGCGACAGAAAGAAATACAGATATTAGATCAATAAATATCCAATATGTTCTCACACGTGCAAAGATGTTAGCCGTATTCGTGGCGCGTCAAATGTCTGGTGTCGATTCAACGGGAATTAGATGCATCGACCAACAACTTGAAGTTCATTTGAAGCAAATCAAAGAATGTTTAGAAACGAACATGATTCCGCTTGGACAACTTTGTGTTGGTTCTTACCTCGAGCGAGCTATGCTTTTCAAGGCGATAGCTGATAGAATATGCCTTCCAGCAGCTTTCGTACGTGGGGAATACGGTGTTTCGTGGATTGAAATAGCCATACCTCAAGTAATATACGTATTACTTGCGTTAAAGTGGCGTTCCTTTAATATATTACGTAATTTGTGATTCAATGCGCATCTTGCAGATGGAAGACTCAAATGAAAGAGTATTATTTGATGCTTGTTTGGATGGAAATAATGAAGATTATGAAAAAAGAATTACGACCGAACTTTTAGGCGAGTCAAATGTCTTCACATATCAGAACGGACATGAGAAAGAAAAAATTTCTCTCTCTCTCGATTATCAATCGACGATTTACCCAACCAAGCTTATGAAACCGAATTTTATCGTTGATTTGATGGACACCCCGGGAGATTTGATCCCAATTGGAAGTCCTCGTTCAAAATTATATTCTATTAAAAAAATAACATGTTGCTATTGAAAACTGATTTACTATTATAAGGTTTATGATATGACAAAAATTTAATAAAATAATATTTTGATTTTAATCAATCTTATAATATTTTAATAAAGAAGTCACACAAAGTTTCTGGAAATGATTGGGATGTAATTTACAAAATTCTTGTTTTATACATATGTATACATATAAAATAAAAGAATATATTTTTTTATTTTCTTCTTATACGTTACACAAATAGTATCGATCTGTTTACACGCATATGTATATAATATTTTATAAAAGAATAAAGTTAAAATATTCATAGCGATTTTCTGTGTAAACAGAAATAATATATAGCACATAATGTAATCAACATAACAAAATATATAAAATCCTACGGTAAAGATCATGCAGTTTACAAAACTAACTACTAAGAAGTATAGTATGACTCTCATATACAAATTAAAAGTGTATTAGATATATATTACATTAGGTACAAATTATGCGAATTTACAGCTAACTTTTAAAAATAGGGAAAGTCGATGACTGTAATAAATCGCATATCACTTTTCAGCGCTGATAATTCTACAGCTTTTAAAATTACTGATGTGTTGGTGGATGTCTTTGTTGCTGTCTCGATTCGCCAACTTTCACTAAACCAAAGAAACTTTTATCATAATGGAAAAGAGTGAATCTCGCTGATCCAATATCCTTTAAGACTAGGTGATCGCCTGTTTGAAGAAAGGTTACTTGGGCTGAGAAACATGAACGGCTTTTGTGATCCACACCTGGGCTATACATCTAAAAATTATATTTGCTATTTTGTACTTTCATACAATTTTTATATTTCAAATGATTACACACATTTGGATCCATAAAGTCGAAACGTTTGCTTATGTAGTTTAATCGCATTTATTTTGAGAATAATAATTAACGAAAATCAATCTGCTCTTTTGGTTCTTTTAGTCTACGATTTTTATATATTTGAATTTATATTCATTATATAGAGTCTTTCTGACAATCATTAATTACTAAAATTCCTTCTTTAGCGTTTTCCAATCCTTACCATGCACTGCAATAAATGTTTGCCATTCACCAGTATGCGAAAGCCAGTCTCGTCGTGTCCGTCTAGATAGTGGATCTGTGCGTACACGAGATACAATCCTGGTTCATGAACGGTAAGTTTGCCATCGTTAGCAAGTGTGAAGTGCCTGCTCATGCCAAGATCGGCAACCCACTCACTCGGCTGCCATGCCCTGAAAACGCCGTCGTGGTGTCGTACCCTGCCGTTACCGGTGTGCTCGTCCCGCGATGAGAAGAGACTGCTGTCCGCCCCATAATGGATAGCGTAAACCTGCCGTGGTGCACGCAAATGCCTTCGAGTCAATCTCCGATGATTTTCCCTTGCAGCCACTTCGTGATTCTAATTCAATTACAACGCTCTGTGTTGTTCACTCGACTATTGTGAGGAATTTAGTGCACCGATTTCATCTACGCCGCGTAACCCCTTAACAATTATTACCCACCTGAACGGCTTGTCGAATCTCAGTTTTATTTTTTGAGATATCGCGATTTCGCCAGCTGATCCTTCTGTCGTTTATAGTTTCCGTGTTTTCATTTTCATATCTGTCAGGTTGAGTAATCCCCTCGCTTGACCAATCATGGCGCGCCGAAGGAATCGTCTCCAGCGCATTGACGTGATACTTCTTTGGGGGATGTCTGTCTCAGAAAACAGTTGATTTAATAAATTTGACCGAAAATATCAAATTTATTTATCCCGTGTTACATTCGATCTCTTTCTACTTCTTCAACTTTCAATTGGTCTAATTTAATGTAATCATTAACGATCGTCATTTCTAAGAATTCAACTTATTAAAGTTCAACGGTGATGCAAGGATTGAAAATGAGAATAGAATGATATTGATTCTAAAGAATTCCACTTTGAACAGAAATGTTTAAAATATTTTTTTGATATATCCGTCATTTTATGATTTTTGTTTAAAAACTTATACTTAGACTGCAGAATGTACCCTTATTAAGGTCAAAATTGACCTTAATAACTCACATTTTACCAAGCTCACGTACACGTATTGCGGTCCAAGCATTTGATTTATCTCCTTGGCTATTCTTTTGTTTTCGAAAGTCGAAATTGAAAAGCCAAAGTTGAAAAGCCAAAGATTCGATATTCCAAAAATTCAAGCTACTGTAATAACTATGATCTACCAACTAAAGATTACAAAAAAAAAGTATACTCAACAGAGATACAAAGATTGAAAATAAGAATAAAGTAGTGTATTGATTGTAAGGATTCTATTTTGTATAATAAAAAAATGTTTAAAAATATTTTTTTGGTATATTCTTTACTTTATGTAATTTTTTTCTCAATTTCTGAACTATACTGTATAAATACTTACGCTGTTGGATCTGTCCCAGAATTGTCATTCGTGTTGTTCTCACCGTTTGCATAAGAACGCGCTCTGGATACAACAATCCTCCTAGTATTATGTCGTTTGCCATTCGTTTCATCTCTCACAAAATCGTCAATCGAGCCGTCATTCACCGATCGCTTTGATTTAATACTCTCTTTGGTGTATTCTGAATTTCTAGCTTCCCTGGTGACGACATCAGGTTTGTGTCTGGTACTGTTTACGTCTTTCATCTTTTTCTCATGATTCAATTGCCCTTTGTGTCCCCCTTTAAGACTCTCTCGTTCAATATTTCTACATGCAATAAAAAATACAATTCAAAGTTGATAGTTAACGTTGTCTGTCCATTTTTTTTATATACATAGTACATAGTCGTGCCATAAATTTTTTTACTATTAAGAAAAATGGTTACTGAGAAAATTATTTCATAATTAAAATAAAAAGCAGCACGTGTGTGGAATGTATATTCGTTTTATTGAATTTACTAATTGTAATATAAAAATAATGATTAAAAATTCACTTTTTTTTATTTCACTGTAAATGTTTTCGAACAGTCGCTCTATAAATTCTCGCAACACGCAAAATTTCAACGCTGCTGCATTCAAAACTTAGAATAAATCTTTTTGTTTAAATTTCGGAGAAAAGAGCTAAATCTCACCGAAATATCGAGATATTAAAGATTAATTTAGCAGTTATATTCAAGAATTTTACAACAGTTGCAAAGCTGTTTTTTCTGCTGAACGCAGCCATTGTTATCTAACCATTTATATGTGATTTAAAATTTTATATCAAATGGCAGAGAGTTAAAAAATCAGGCGGTGATCACAGATGACCACTATGACAGTAAGTGTTAATAGCCATTCCGGCCTCTTTCTTCTAAAAAATCGCGAATTCTTAGATTAAGAACCTACAAAAATTTGCTCAACTTATCTTATTACAAAATATTATTTTCTAAAAAAATAATGTATAATGCATTGCCAGCGCCTCACTTATGATTTCCTCGTATGTCCTTTTCGAAGTCCTGTCCATGCTTCTCTTCCACCTTGCGTAAGGCTGCCAGCAACTCAACCATGTCCTCATTGGCACCGGGATCCGGGGACGTAGGTATTGGTATCGATGTAGTCGTGATATCAAGAAAATCGGACGGTCTGGCGCCATAAGTCAAGGGAGTATGGTAGTCGCCGGAATAGTCGTGCGATGCGGAACCATCATCATCGTAATTAGAGTCGTAATCGGCGTTATCAATGTCTGCCTCGCCTGGATCATTATCCTCGGTAGACTCTTCAGCATACAACTATAATGCATTGTTATACATTCGTATGTAAAATGTTTCATATGAACTACGCGGTTTATTCTATATATGTAAATATCCTGTATGTGTAACAAAAATTTTCCATCGAGCAACTCAACTGTATGATCACGTAGTTATTGGTATTGTCAATTAGTGACGGACGTCTGATACGTGGAAGCGCATCAATAATAGCACTTGTGGTATAATTTCCTTTTTGACGACAATTAAAGTAATTGCTGCCTCTAAAAGCGGCATGAACAACGCTCTGTGTAATGGGGAATTCCAGCATAGAAATTTTGTTCCAGTATAGAATCTTTTTTTGACTGAAGAAACTTCAACTATTATACAATTTTTTTTATATCTTTAACAGTTTAATTGTATTTTGATATTTGATTAAGCGTAATAATTCACGCGATAAGTTGATTCGAGTTATTTATAGTAAATTCGATTGGATGCGCACTGATGCGTATACTGAAAAAAAGTGGTAATATAGCTACCGAATGTTAAGGAGAATAATTTCAATCAAATGTTCGGTTAATACAACTTTTTATTGCTAGATTCGTTCGTTTTATGTAAAGACGCGTCGAAATTTAGCAAAATTTTATTTTCCAAAGCATGAAAGGCGTTTCTCTTGAATGCGAACAACAAAGACTTCTTGTTTGTTTAGGAGAAGAAATATGGCTTTTGTAGAAAAAAGTTTTAAAAAGATATATTTTGATATTGAAAAGATACTATTCATGATTTCAATGACAGTATTATTATAGATTATCCTAATGAGAATCATAAATTCAAACACAGATAGAGCCTTATTCTAGTGCTAATTAAGTATCAACGCATTTTACATGGATTAATAAGCACAATCCTGTTTGATTTCCTCTCCTTCATGTTAAAGCTTCATAGACAATTAAGAAAGGGATAAACTTCTATAATACTTGATATTATGTCAAATTAGTGCCCTTAAATGGATTTACTGTCATTTATTGCTTTTTTTGTGCCGTCACGAGCTGCATTGATTATTAGAAAATTTCACTAATAGCAAACAGGACAAAAAGAAACGCAATTTGTCTTTTCTTTTCTTGAATAACTATACGAAGGAAATATTCAGCAATCATGCGCGCCAATTCGTTTACTTACTGCAGGAACCTACCTGTTCCTCGAAGGCCTTTAGCTCGTCCATAAGGTCCTGCTCCAGAAACCGATGCTTCAGGATATCGACGTCTCTTCTCAACTGTTCAATTTCGCGAGTGTTCGACAACAGCTTCCAACTCTGAAGGCCGAGGCAGAGAACAGCGGCCATAAGGGCGGCTACGCTCAAAATCGTGTTTCTGCTCGGTCTTACGAGCCGCGATCGGTTGAACCCTTGTTCGAGGTCGGAGTGCGAGATGCTCAAGTTCTCCCGCGAAAAGTTCAGGAATGACCTCGTCTCCTCTTTGGCAGGCGCGTTCCTCATTAACTTTTGCTTCATCCTCACCGCGTTGCTTTCTTCCCCGGATAGCATGGACGTCATCGCGGAAATTGAACGATTTTCAGCGGGAGAATGATTGTGTGTATGTATCCGTGTAAGTTTGACGCAAATACGATTTACATATTCATACGTATATCTTCACGATTTGATTTGATGATAAACGAAGAACTTCATCCTCGCATCGATTTTACGATATGTCAAGAAACCATCCTTCCGTAAAAGCTATGCGTTGCTGCAAATTCTTTGTTTTCTCTAGTACAGCAACATTTTCATCCTATAGAGAATTTGTTTTCTTTTACTGAAGACTACCCAATTTAAAGATTAGGTCTGTTTTTTATTGCTGCACTTTCTGAACTAGTACACATACTGCAATAAGTTGAAGTGAAACAAATATACGTTTGTTTCACTTCAACTTATTGCACCGGTTCAAAGAGCAACAATAAAAAAACAGACCTATTGTATCTTACATTCATGTCATGTGTTTAGGCATTTAAATTTAAACGTACTCAACTATTTTCCGCACTAAATTTATTTACTGCGAATTTATATGTGTTCTAAATAAACTTATATCAGACTAGACATTGAGATTCATGTTGAAATGGAGGTCGAAATTGATCAATCAGAAGAAAGAAAACGAAATAATTGTTTAGTAAACTCTTCCTTGATTGGTCAAATTCAATCTCAGTCTCTAGTCTGATACCGGCTTAAAAAGTTTTGTATCTGCAGTTCTAAGGAGAAAGAATTATATTCCTCTTTGGTTTAACTAAACAAATTCTGATGCGATCAGAGTTTTATTATTACCAATTGATAAGGTGCAAAAACTTGTCTTGTTATTGATACGTTATCACTATTACACACATTAGTTTCTTGCCAACGAATATATAAAGTTCATTTAAGTTTTATAAGTGGACAAACACAAACACTTCAATCATCGCAAAGAACGCTAATCGCATTTCAGCCAATTGGACTCAGATAGGAGATAATAGAGAACTAAGACGTGTCTTGTTTTATGCTCGAATCCCGTTGCTTCTGACGATATAATATACATTATATAACGAAAAAGAATAAGATTCTGTCTAAATTATTACGAGAAAAAAATATTTAACTCCGAAAGAAATCGATGAGTAGCTTTCCGCATTCGCGGAATAGACGCGTTCACCTAATTGTACATTTTCGAAGATTTACGATATACGAAGACGTTAAATATCCCACACTGGTCCTGTCCCGTTTTAAAACCTGTCCGGTGAGTTCCTCCCCCTCCCCCCTAAAGGTAGAGAACTACAAGAGGACCTCCTCTATCCTCGCCTTTTCTCTTTCGCTCTTTTGTATCTGAGTCTCATCATTTTTCCGCACTCTTATCCTGCGGCAAAAGATACACAAGGAATAGATCACGTTTATTTCAAAATCAAAGAAGGATTAAGAGAAAACCTTGATTCAATCCGAAAAGAACTCTCAAATGTACCGATTTTTGTAGAAAGAATTCGATAAATTTTGACAATAAAACATAATTAATATTTTAACAATAAAACATAATTAATATTTTGATATGTTTGAGATTAAATTGAATAATCTAATCTAATTTTCACTTCTATCTGACTTCTATCTGAATCCAATTTAATCAAATTATTTTTCTATTATCTGAAAATTTATATCTATGTACACGTTGCATAAGTTTTATTAAACAAGTGTAATATAAGAACAATAGAAATTTATTATACAATGTATTCATAAGTAATATCTTAGCTGTTGCAATAACATTAAATGTTTCATTTATTTGTATTTATCGTTAATTAATTACGTATATTTTCTAAATCAATTTAACGTAATTTTAAAATTTCAGAATCTCATATCGATAAATAAATAAAATGTTTGTTATCGATGTTTGTGTGATCAATAATTAAAACGAAACATACTTCATCCTGATTTAGATAATCCTTGCTTCACAATTTAATTTTCGAACACAATTATTAAAATTTTTATATTATATTGTAATTAATATATCAGTTTATCAATTTAAATTACTAGAGATCACACTTCGGCTCACTAATTCAATACTTCTCGTTTCACACATATATACTCTATAAACTTCACTTTTTATAAATATCGGAAATTAATGTTAATATGCGTTAATTTTCTCTTTAGGAGTAAATAAAAATAATTTATTTCACAAAGTAAAATTTATTTGTCTGATAGCGTGTTTCGATCTCTCTTTGTCGCTCATTATTAATATTTCCGGAGCACTTGCAGAGTTCAAAAGAACGCGTGCACAACAGTGTACATCCGTCGTCTACGATCGACACAAGCATACTGAAGAACAGGATGAAGCTCGTACGCGTTTATCACCGCGACGCCTTCATCTCTTGTCAGACGATGCGATATTACGCTAGATATATTTTTTACCGCGACATTAAACTTATGAACTTTATGTATATACGATGGCAGGAAATGAATGTATGTAATAAATGGTATTTATAATAAATATGTTTTATTTTAAGCTTATTAAATATTTCTATTAAATATTATAAAGAAACTATGCATTATATGGAAGACTATTGAATTACAAGTGTAATAATGTAAAATAAAGCTTGAAAATAAAAGCTCGAAATGAAGCTAATTAACAAAAGACAAAAATAATACAACGGAGAATGTAGGCAAATACACAAGACAAACAAAGTAACCGCAAGATGAAAAAATAAACACAATTACGACCACAATTAAGGAATTCGCATTGACCACGTCTGCAGGCTTCCAGTTACGCTTATTCTGCTTGAGTCAATAATAAACTTGAAAAACATACGGTACAACTACGAGTTAATAAGGAAGACTTGCTTGCAATAATAATTTTAATATAGATTATCTAGCCACATTAAAGCTTATTTATCAAAACAAAAAATATATATTTGATTAAGTAATATTAGTTACATTTACACTTTCTAAGTATATATAATATTATATACATATAATTGCATTCGCGAATATTTTTTTATTCTTAATTATGGATTGCTTTTCCTTTTTCTTTCTTTTCTTTTGCTTTAAATATTAAATACTTTAATTAGATCTAAAGTTAATCTCATTAAAATTTATTTGGCAAGATTTATTGAATAAAGATAAGAGGAAAAGAAAAAAGAGGAGAAATATAAAATAAATTTGAAATTTATCTTTCTATTTCTAATCCATATAATATAATTTATGTAATCCCACATAATAGAAAGAAATAGTGGAATAAATTTTTAAAATATTTCGCTAGGAAAATTTTCGAACATAGTTTGAAATGTAGGTATTTATAATTTCATTAATGTCATTATTAGATATCGGATTTTTATGCAGATATTTTTTGCAGCATGTACAAAATATGCAAATTTGCACAAATATGCAAATATGCACAATATGTACAAATAAATATGCATTTTTAGAACGCTTCTTTAATGAGACAAATTTCTATTTTTACGTTACTTTCTAATCTGCTTTCTAAAAAAAATATGAAATTGCATAAAAATCCGATGTCTAGTCATTATTGTCATAAAGTAATTAATTAGAGTCCATCAGTTGTAGAATTCTTTCTTTCTCTCTTTTACGGCATTCAATGCTAATATTGTAATAGCCGATAAAATGCCACAAAGAAAGAAGCTTTCCTGGAATATACACGGCTGTCTGTCTTCTGTATGCATTACTGAGAAATTAAATAATTCAGGCATGACATCACACTGGCGTCTGCACTTAAAACTTAAAGCCACGGCTTACCGCAGGATAAATTAAGACGATAAAATAAAAGCTTCTCAGAATTAATGCTCTCGCGATCTAAACGTGACTCTTACGTTGATTATTGCAACTATTCAACTGTAATTTGTTTATTTATGAAAATTGCTTGTTAATCATTGTGGCAATACTAATAATGATATTTATGCAGCTAAACGAATATTTGATTAAATAATATTTGCATAATTGAACATGTGATTAAATTGAGCAATTTTGCCTAGTAGACAAATTATTAAAAAATAATAATTAATTGCATTGCAGTCTCACACACACACACACACACGCGCGCGCGCGCGCGCGCGCGCGCGTTCAAATAATATCAACTTGGAAATCCCATGACTAATCGGCGGTCATTTAATAAGCGTGCGGAAGTAATGAACGTAATTGTATCTAATCGTTGTTATCATCTGTAGTTTTCCTATTATCAGTTATTACTATAGAGTACTACTATAGAGTTATTACTATAGAGTATACCATGAACTCTTTGTTTTGGTTTGTAAAATATAGTTTATTCAGCATTTTCAAAATCTAATGTAAGCTTTCTTTAAACAAAATAACTCTACATACATAAATAATATATATATATATAATACATAAATAATATGTACATATAACATACTCACATGTAATGTAATACCCGAATGTCAGTCAGGTTTTCATAAACATTTCTCAATACCACACTACAACTCTTCTTCATCTATCAGATTGTGTTTTATGCTCTTTTGATAATGGCTCATTGTCAGCTCTTGTAGTCTCAGATCTTTCTAAAACTTTCAAGTCAATAAATCTTGAACTGTTGATCGCCAAACTGCATCATTATTAATTCCACTCTATCACTCCTTCGTTCCTTATTCTTTACAAATCAATCTCAACAGATTTTTGTCCATAATCATTCTCCTAGCTTTTTTTCAATACCTAATATTTCATCAAGGTATTTTAAAATTCAATTCTTGGACCTTTACTTTTCAATCTTTTTGTTACCGATTTGCTCTGGCTATTATCTACAAGCTTTTTATATATATAGACGATGTCCTTCTCTTTATATTCTTCAAACTTTTCAAAGTCTGTTTTGTCACAACCATATTAAATAATCACCTTCAATAAATTGCTAATTGGTTGGTAACAAATGGATTGCATCTAAATCTCTCAAAATCTTCGTTTCTAATTACAAGCTGTTCTATTTTATAGGAGATAAACACACATTTTGAACATAGATATTAAAAGCAGAAAGATGAGAAAGTATACTTTTTCACTTTCCTGCTTTGTTTTATATCTTAAATCTTCTGTCACAATTCTTGACTTATATGTTGATATGCATCCTGGTCGTTTGAATACCATTGCGGCGATTACATCGCTACGATCTCACACACATAGAAAGCAGTAATTCAGAAAGTATAATAAGAAGAATAATATTCGAGAAAACTATAAATAATCATAACGCGAGATAAAAGGTTCGAGTCAGTTATTCGGAATACAATGCACACGACGCATACATATGTTGTACGAGCATACATATGTTGTATACGGTAGGATCAGTGTGGAATACAATAGCCAGTTTTCTAAACGAGTAACTTATTTCTTTTGTTCTTTCTTATTTCCGAGTCAATGAAAATATCTTTTTTATCCTGTTATATTTTTTTCTACATTTCTAGGTATAGGTAGTAACCTCGGCCTATTTTTTATGTTCTCGACTTAAACGATTTTTATTTTCTCAATTTAACAATAATATTTAGGTATGTATTAGACTAACAATCACATTAACTTTCGAAAGAAGATATGTTTATATAAGAATGATCTCGAACAAAGATAAAGCAGAGGAATGGATCTTGACTCTCGAGAACGCGAGGTCACGACACGTAGACACGATTCAAATTAGACGCGCTATTAAATAAATTGTCAAACTTTATTTTGCTGACGACGAGACTTTAATTATTTGCTTACCACCACATATCCCATGTTACAACTATATGTAGGCTCTTGTATATTTTCCTCTCAAAATGTACCCATTACATCACATCTTAAGATATAAACGGATATTATATATGATTATACGGAAAAGATGGCTATAGATTGACACTTCATCCATTGCGGGTGATGCAATTGGTATTTTCAATGTTATTATTGTTATGCATTTGCTTCCACTATTGAATGTTGACCGCTCCATTCAATAAAGTTATTATTATTATTATGGTTAGTATATTTTATCAATATACGTATACAGAGAATGACGTATATGATAAAATTATATTAACTATGTTTATGTTGCAAGGAAAGGAGTCACATTTTTGACGTCATAACTTCAGATGGTTATTGTGAAGAAACAGGAGCCTTAATACGAATTTAGAGCATCGCATGATGACTAATTAGTATTGCCATTGTAGAATTTTTTCTAACATGGCATTAATAACGGGACTTACGTGAGTGTCCCGGACTTTAAGTATAAAAACGTGATGAAATGTCGGTTTGAAGAAATTATGATGGAATTTACTACACGCGAGATAAAAACGGAAATATGTCTTACGTATTTGTTTACTTGTTTATTTACCGATATATAACATATTCAATAATAATACTCAATTGGATAATATAGACAACAAAAGCAGAACACAATTAATACAAATATCATATATATAATACTGACTGATGTAGGAAGTAAATTTGTAAACGAATTTATAAAAAGCAATCCCCATTCATAATTTATATATATCTTTGCTTTTCTTGGAGATAACAAATAACCGATGTGTAAGTTTGGTTCTGGATGGAACTCTCGTATTCTTTATCGGTTATAATACTTGGAAAAAATAACGAACAATATACCTACATTCTGAAATAAAGAAAGACCTATTTTGTATTTTCTATTTTTAAGTTGCAGTCCGATAGTCACTGCCAATACTGAATGAGAAATTTTAATCTCTATATTTCTAAAATTTATTTGTATTTATGCATAAAATATGAAGTACAGAAACATAGAAAGTATATACAAGAGTGTATTTACAATGACGATATACAAAACTTACGAATTAACATGAGTATATATTATAGTTCGCTTTTATACATGTTTACGTGTGATACGCACTAACGAGCTTCGTCATTAATAACTTACGCCACTTACGTTTGAGTACACCTACGCGTACACAACTTATACTATAAATACAAAAATTATTTGGTAATCGTTGGTACCATCAAGAGAGTACTAATTCTC